GCCACACCGCAAAAAGTCTTACTGAGATGTTATTAGTAAGGTAGATGTCGGTTGCCGAGCATAATCTGGAGACACATATTGATTTACAAATAAATAAATAAAGGATGAAAGATTCGGCGTCTTCAATATCTTCTGGGGCATGCGCCGAACGCACACTACTTCATGGTCGAAGAGGCAGTTGTATGCGTGCGAGCCTTTTACAGTGACTTGCGGGGGCCAGCCAGTTACTAAGTCAGTGCAGTGAGTTTTTCTGCATTTCCGTTTTCGGGCAAAAAAGACTATCACCTGGGCATATTTAGTTATAAAACGCTTTCTACGCATTCTTCGGCTTTGCACTCCCAAATTGAATGCATAATTGAATTTCTGCTAGTCTCTCTCCAAACGCAAGTAGTTCTGTAGGCTGTGTATTTGCACATGAAGATCTCTTTTATGTTCCAACAAAAAACTGAAAATGACTGGGCGCACAGTTTTCTAGGCTTTGAAGTCTTTTTTTGTTCTTTTTGTCAAAAGTATTGTATACTGCTATGAAATGTCTTTTGCAAATTATTTGCTGAAAATAATTTCTCGGACGAACGATCTTCTCCAATTTTCAAATTGACCATTTCGTCCACTGGATCTTCAGTCCACCCAAACTGAGGATTCTGACATTTTGATCTGTATAATAACGGGGTCCCTGACAAGGTAATCTCCCGACTCTTGCTGGCAGAAATGTCCAAAAAGAGATACACGCTGCAGAAGGGACAAGCGGCCCAAATAGCTCCGCCTATCAACGTAAGTGGTCTAAAGGTAATTAGATCGAAAGTGGAGCCCGATTTTGGACTTTTTAAACCGGGACCCACGTTGATTGGCGAAGCCACCTAAGCCGCTTCTCCCTTCTATGGCGTTTTTCTCGCTTCAGATTCATCTTCTGCAGCGGGTTTTGGGCGATTGGTTAGCCAGGGGGATGCCTGAGATAGCGGTGATTTACTCAAACAGTAAGTAAGATTATAATCTCACTAACGGCTAACGTCTCTCCTTCACCCCCCCCCCCCCCGCCCCCCTCTTCGGCTTGAAAAGTTGAATGCATTAGTGAATTACGAAAGTTACTGCTAAATGTTCGGTTCTGAGATTTTTTTGAAAATGTCGCTTGAGCACCGGCCAGCTCCGAAGCTGAAGACAATTCAATTTGCTCCTGCCGGGTCGATAAAACTACTGTTTACATCGCATAGCTTGTTTTCACTTCTACGAAAATGTTGAGACTCCTTTTAAAGTAGCTGTGATGGTTGGCCTCATCCCACATCAAAAGAAAAAAAACGTGCTCTGGATCGAATAGCTTTTCTATTTCAGTTGTATGTCAGATTTTTGAGGGTAGACGTTCTTTATATCATGTGCTGTGCTATTTTAGATTTGTATTTTTGCAAGTGAGTAATGACAAAAGCATCAGACCATTTGAATGCTTCTTTCTTCTGGTGCCATTTGCTCGTCATCTGGACCTAAAGAATTCTAAATTGTCTTGAAAGCACTGTCCGCCATTTCGACTATAAAACTCGTACTAAAAACTCTCAAATGTTTTTGAACAAGCACTCTATGCAGCTTTCCCTTCCCTATCTGGAAGTTACATTCTCAAACCATAATCTTCTAAAAGCTTCTTGTTAGTCGCCAACCTCTTCACCCATCATTTCTATCTGCTCGAGGCTCGGCTAATTTTCCAAAGTTTCATTCTAGAGTTTCGGAAAAGAGTAGAATGTGACACAAATATAGCAAATATCGGACTTACGGTAGCCCTCTTAGATTCTTCTGATTCGCTTTTTGAAGCTTTAGGAACCACTTCTGTGGAGATCTCGATTTTTAGTGAAATGACATGCTCAACTGCAGCAAAAACACGACAAGAATCAATTTCTGCGAGGAACTTGTTCCCTCATTTTTGCAAAAAAGTTGTGAAAGTAAGTAGAAAATTTGCTTTGAAGAATCAGGTTTCTGGAAATTTTGATATCTTATGCGCTAGCGTGCTCAAAAAGCAAGGTTTTTTAACAAACAATTTTCACCTGTTTTAAAAACTGGTTTATGTAGTCTACAATCACAATGTAGCCAAAAGTTTACTCTACGCCAGCCCTTATCTGAAACTGAGATATTTCAATAGATCGGGGTAAATCTGTCATGGTCGAATTCTACGAAGAACCATGCAGAGATTGCATAGACACAGACTACTGTAGCTGTCATAAAGGGGATAAAAAACTGAATCGAACGGTACCTAAGTTTTTTGTCGAAATATTCTCCACCTGAAGCTAATTGTAAGCTTGCCAGCTCAGTCGTAAAACGATTTCGCGAATAAATATCACCAGCTGCGAAGTGATAGGTAGAAGTTATTGATTCAAAAATGAGATATTTGCATTCTCTTTTCTATTTCGTGTATAGTGTTCAGCGTTTCCTCTTTGGAGGCACCCCAAGTTATGGGTTTTGAGCTTTCGGCAGCTTACGATAGTAGGACTCCCTACCATGCAATCGCGGCGCAAAATGTCGCTTCGAAAGCGAGAAAATCGCTTCGGGGTGACAAACAGGCATGAGGACCCCAAGTCAGCACTGCCCAACCTCCTCCCCCCCCCATCTTCTGAGGTAATGCCCACCCCTCCATGTGCGCCCATCCAATCACCAGGGTAGAGCAAGAGGTGTGGCACTGAACGGCCGAATGACCCCCCCCCCCCTTGAGTAGCCTCGAAAACGACCCCTTCCCCATTCCCTCCTCCCCCTCCCCTCCAATACCAGGGCTGCATTTTCGAAAGATTCACGGTGCTAAGCAAAAAGCCTCTATAGTACAGTCTTCGAGAAATATAACTGAAACCTCGTGAGTCTAAAAAAAGTTGAAGAATCGCTTTTTTCCATATAACAAGTGAAGACAAGGTCCAAACTATACGCACTTACACTAAAGTTATGCATCAGGTAACCTATGGGCTCTTTATATTACAGGCCACTCCAAGATGCATAAAACTAGTAGAACAGAGTTACAATCTTACGAAAGTATACTGGTTTTCGACTCACAAAAGAGCTAGGAAAAGAAAAAGCCTTTGGATGAAACCAATCAAAACCATTTTTGAAAGAGATGGCGGAAATTGCCGCATCAGTGCATTTCGAAACTATATCGCATCGAGAAATAACACACAAAAAGCACACTGTATAGCTTGCCCAAAGCACAGCTAGTTTTGTGCGAAGAAAAACTTACTCTTTTGTCAGATTGCATGAAACAAAAAAGATCCCTCTAATTATGGGAAACCAAGCTGTAAGCATCATTCCATTTTTGGGAGGAATCAAGAACCAGACTGTAGACTTAAGGTCCCATCATCCTTAAAAGGTCTCAGTGTCTGAAAGAAAGGTCTCATATAAGGAAACCGACGAAAAGAAGTACGAATTCTAAAACTGTTGCAAAACAATGGAAAGCATCCGAATTATTCAGCTTGCCGCCTTTCTGCATCGTTTACGCAATAACGCAGAAAGGCGGCAAGATGAATTTGCGTGCTGCCGTAATCCGATATTTTGGCAGCCGCACGATGGATGGTAGTTAGTTGAAAAAGCGCTATATCTCATTCTGTGCGGGAAAGTTTTGGATGAAAATCGTACTATAAAGAGAAGAAGGTTGAGCGGTAACAACGACATAAAATCGTAGACATTCAACGGCTTCAAGAATAAGTTAGTGGGGTCCATAAAAAGCTGTGGCAGCCACAGCTTTTCAAGGGAGGTGCCACACCCCAATAACTTACCTTCAAAGAAAGTTTTGGCGAACATTTCAAACATGATTTGAAAGCCCAGTCCTAGTACTATGCATAGAAGTTATTTGAGCCTGATTCTTCTTCTTTAGAAGAAGTAATAGTTGATGAAACCGCAACCATCAAAACTGAAAAGTGGAACAAACATGATCTTGGCTGGCTTCTAATTCCATAACTTGGCGTTTAACTGAAGTGGGACTTCTCATAGTGCTTTGTAATCAGTGCGAAAAACTAAATAGCTAAGTCACCTAAACGAAGTTAATCACTTTCAAAAATTATATATTACTTGAGGTTACGGAAACGTCTGACTTCACTGAAACTTGAATAGGATAGATGGATAGGTGTTATCCGACATGTTAATTACGAAAATGATACCCAATGTGTTTGGTAGAGCTACTTTATTATGCTTACTGTATCTACACGATGGCTCACCAGTACCTCATGCGCTTCTTATCTGCATAGTGGACATACCTGACTTCGTTGGCACATATTATGTTATCGTCAACATCAATATCACGTCAATTACGACCCCCCTACCGATCCCCTCCCCCTCCCTCTACGACCCCCTGGTGTGGCGTGCCACACCCCACGCTTTATCCTGCCAATCACTGTTCCGGAGAACCGGCCTGGAGATTATCCGGAACGGAAACTGTCGGGATTTTCGAGGATTCCCGTCATAATCGGAATCAGAGACATGAGAAGACCCCGAAAACCAAAACATGGAAGTCGACAATCTGGGTGGACGGTGCCTTTAACTTTCTTGTTTTCGTTGTTGCTGCAGGTAAATCAACAACGCAGACATTACATCGAGCGCGTCTAGTGCGGCGGCTCAGTCTGGACCGACTCTCAGAGGCTAAAGCATGAGGGAGTTGGAAGAAACGCGCTGCTACAATGTGGCCACTGGCCATGCTTTGATCCACTTTGGTGACTCAAAAGGAACTGGGATGATCTACTAAATACATTCTGTCCCAATCCCATTAAGGCCAAAAGTAGCATGGCGAGAGTCCGCGTCGCTGGGGTTTTGCGTCACGCCTACAGCCTCTTGTCTGCTCTCTTTTCACTCTATTCGCTCTCTCCGACAGCGCGCACATCAGTCCCCTTAACGCTGCAAGTGCGATTCACGCCAACGGTTCGCCCATCCCGATTAGGACAGACTGTATTTCCAAATTCTTTTCTTTCATAATCTCACTCATTTCTGTTTACAAATCTTTACCACTTCGCAATTTACTTCTATTATGTTATTCAACAGTGATACATTGCTAGGAAACGGACACGCAGGTGATCGACGTACAATCGTCAAATCCGGGACTGGTGTCGGAATGGAAACGACGTTTATCCAATGACGTCGACATTGTGACCGCCATTATTCGGCCAGATTCGAATCGAGCGAATGATGGTGGACTTGGCATTGCGCTGGAAGGTAATCATCGTATGCATTCCTATTTTTGGTATCTGTATCTCCTTTTCTCATGGTTTCTTTATAGAAATGTGTGGGAATTATTTGAGAGAGTTTAGGATATAGTTGGTAAACAACTCAGAGGGAAGCACGAGTTTTGAAATTGCGCAAAGGATTTGTTCACTTGTAAATATCAAAGCATTTGCTTTGATTTTGAACTTAGTTTGGGTTACAAGCAGGGTCAAGCAAGAGGTGTGGCACACGATCGCTGGTTACGACCCCCCTCTTATTGCTGTCTCAATAAACCCCCTTAACTATATACTCAAGATAAAATTACTTGAGGGCCCTGTCAAACATAACGGGCAACATATCCATAATTAGCGTGTCAATTAACCCCTGTAGACAATGTTTGAGCGAATTCTGAAGTTTCAAACTGAGTCACCTAAATACAATGGTCATTTTCCAGCATGTTTAACTTTGTTTCAAAGGTGAAGCAGCTAGCTGTTTTTGCGCTCAGGTCCTGACCCTACAGTATTACAGAATGATCTGTTATTTGCTCCATAATGTGGATCTAGGTTGAAGTCAGCTCTACAAAACGGTACCTGAAGATAGGCAAAAGGCTTTTTGGGATAAGAGATATCAACGATCAAGTAGGGACATACCTTTGGGACGCCTCGTATTATACCATTTGACTAGAGAACCAGTAATTAAAAGTGCTAGATTGCATCCGCGCGCTGGGACTGCACCGCGGTTTTCTGCTATTTGATAGTGGCTAGGTAATGACCAGAGAGCACTCGCGTGGGAGAGACGCAGGCGTGCGTCGCGGGCGCGAGCTGCCTCAATTAGGTCACAGAGCTCAGCCTTCATGAAGCCAAGGCAGTTGAATCAAAGGTTACACCCTGTACACTTGCCAAATCGGTGCCCTTATACTAAAACCTAGTTCTTTAATACAATATTTTTTTGACTCATAATATTGCTTGTGACTTTGACAGCCTCCTAATTCCAGGCACTGTTGATGTCGTAAAAGGTCATCAGCTCTGTCCGCATCACTATATCGAGTCCATACGACACAACGGACCCGCTGCCGTGTCGGGCCTATTACAGGCAGGGGATGAGCTGCTGCAGGTACCTGTTTGATTCGTAGCTGGACAGTCGCTACCGTATAAAGTTTGTTTTTTAAGGTCAACCACTCCGTGCTCTATGGAGAATCTCATGTGACCGTGCGACAAGCCCTCTCTCGAGCTGTTCATTCCGGAGCTCCAGTGACATTGGTGGTAGCTCGACGGACGCAGCATGTTAACGTGTTCCAACCAAGCTCGGAGAAAAGTCTGCCAGCTTCTTACCCGCTTCTTGCATCCGGACACGAGAAAATCGTCAAAGTTTGTTGTTCTCCTTTTTGAGTAAACTAGCAGGTGTAAAGTTTATTTTAGGCAAAATCTGAAGTTAACATCCCAGAGATGGCTACGAGTACGGATGCTCTGCTACAGCAGGTGTCTAGACGTTTGAGAGCACGCTCACTCGAACCGCTCACTGGTTTAGCTGTATGGAATTGTGTGCCGCTAGTGGTTTGTCTCGAGAAAGACGAACGTGGACTAGGATTTTCTATAGTTGATTATCAGGTATATATTATATGCACTGAAAATAGTGGAGGGGCACTTTAGCCGCTTCCACCAGGGCGGTACATTCCAACATTTCTGAAGCGCGCGAAACATGCAAGTATGGCCTTAGACAGTCGAAGGGATACCTCCGGCGGGCAAATGGCGCGGGTCTGCCACTTCGCGCTCTGGAGCGCTCCGGAGCCCTGCCATTTCACCCATTTTGGTGCTCCGGGGCTCTCCCAAAACTGGCGCACCTCCGGAGCAGAGATTTGCGCGTCCCGGAGAGGGGTCCCATTCGTTCACCATGACGTCACGGTGCACGTCACGCGCCTTTACTGGTCGATAGTCGCGGACTCTACAATGAATTGCAGATACACACTTCTGCATGCTTCGCTGCGGGAATCAGCAGCTATGCAGAAAAGCCGAACACGCTTTCTATTCGCTCTATGACATGAATTTTTTCTTGTGATTGAAGGCTGCGTCCAGGGAAAATCTGTGCTAACCCGGTTAGTATCTAGCTTGAAAGCAGTCCCCAGGAGAGTGGCATCAGCGTTGGTCCGGCCCTTCAATGTGACTTCTGAATGGAGAATGGATTTGGAATCCGCGAACTTCTATCAAGCCATGCCCGTTCTATCAAGCTGCGCCCATCCGAAGACTGAAAGTCGCCCACGCCTTCACTATCATTGCCTCATGCTACCTGTCCGTGTAGGTGGAGCCTATCGGCGACCTAATGTCCTCCACCCCATAAACTGATATCGGATCACTTTGTCCCTTGATGGATTGATCAGGTCGTTTTCCTTCTCCAAAAAGTGAGTGGGGCTCTGCCGAGTTCCTTTTCCCTTACCCGAACGATTATAGGGCCAGAAATCACCAGGGCCCGGCTGACCAACTTAACCCGGGCGGACGAATCCGTCAGGGACCCTGGGCGAAAGTAAGGGGGGGGGGGACCTTCAGGTAGAGCGCTCACTAGTCTTCGATATCCTCGATAGGCTATTCCATGCTAAGAGAACTTTTAAGAACCCTTTGAAAGATAGTAAACTGTGAAAATTGTAAGTCACCATGCAAAATGCCAGTGAATATTATCAAAATTCCTTCAAATCATCGAGATGACTTTGGAAAGGCGTTTGGCATGCATGGCTTAATTTTCAAACTGAGCATATAGCGGTGACAGAATCAATCAAATGCGTGCGAAAGGTCACACAAGGTGATAACCGGGGCATCGACCACCAAACGCGAGGGCAACCACAAATTCGCTGCAAACGCAAGCGAATAAGTACCGTACACGCGCATGGAAGCGAAATCCACGAGTTTCCAGTGGTTTCATTGACCGATAAAGTCAAAACGAGAGAATTTTGTTGGCATAGTAAAGGAACTAGCCCAAAAGTTCCCAGCAAAAACTAGCGATTATCAACGAAGTCTAGCAAAGCAAGTTATTATTAACAAATCTCGGCAGGACAAGGAAATGCCAACGAATCTCCAATAGTCTCCGATATTCAATAGTCACAGACATTCAAAGTCTGCAAAACGTTTACAAATGCTAGTTTTCTGCGAAATTCCTCAGAATTCTTGCTAGAGACTATTTCGCTCGGCAATAGGCTAAGCCTTCTTGCTTTCAGACTTCGTAGACCTAAGGCAATAAGTCTCTCATTGTATAGGGGCCTGCAGGATCGCGAGAGTCGGACGTGCGTACGGCCATTGCGCCGCGCACGTCAGATGTGCGTCCGACGACTCATTTAGGTGCCAGACTTATCCTGTTGAACGGTTCATTCGGTTCACCACCTTTTCTGTTGGACAGTGTAGTGATTTGACCTATGAACCGAACGAACCGGCTGAAGCGGATAAGTCTGGCACCTGCCTTAGTGACATCAGACGTGCGCGGCGCAATGTCCGTACGCACGTCCGACTCTCGCGATCCTGCAGGCCCCTATAAAGAGGCAAGAATTGAGGATAGCCAGAATTTGGGAAGCCGATGTAAGAAACAATTCTAGTAAAAATTTTTTGCACTTTTCTACTCTTTCCGTGCTTTTCTTGTAGAAATGACTCAAAACAGGGGATGCTTATTCCATAAGAGGAAAAACACAAGTTTTGTACATTCTGATCGAGATCTTTGCGTCATTACAGTGAATGCTCCTAAGTATGGTAAATAGAACGGAAAGCATTCCATATGTCCTCTTATCTTGAAACCTGGGCATTCTCATTTGAATAACAGATACAATGACTTTGAGTGTTACGACACGTGCTCTGCTAAGGCCGTATATCGACTTGTTTTCACCATGCGATTCTAACAATTCAGCTAATGCTTGCAAAGCATGTTCGTTGGATACATTGGTATACAACGAATCCACGTCAAACAACTCGATCGCGCTGCTTTCATTGAAGTTTGTCTTGCGCAAAATCTCTAAGAAATGTGTAGTGTTGCTTAAAGGCAGTAGGTCGGCAGAATGAAACCCGTGGCAAAACAAGGACACAGGGTAGGAGCCCCCATAATGGAACCTATGGGCCAAAGTTCGATCTTTCTCTGCCACTTCCCCCGAAATTTCAAAGCGAAAGCAGCGCTCATTTCCTATCCTCTCCGAACCCGCCCACCCCATGGACGAGTGACTTGCGCGGTCAGAGCGCCAGCCGCAATGCTATAAGCATGAGGTCCCGCAACGACTCTGCGTCTTCGCCATGACGGGGTTGCGTTCACTCGTCGATGGGGTGGGCGGGTTCGGAGAGGACAGGAGATGAGCGCTGCTTTCGCTTTGAATTTTCGGGGGTTAGAAGTGGCAGAGAAAGATCGAGCTTTGGCCCATAGGTTCTATTATGGGGGCTCCTACCCTGTGACCTTGTTTTGCCACGGGTCTCATTCTGCCGACCTACTGCCTTTAAGTGGGCTGGTATCTTATCAAGCAGTTGGCTGATGATCTTATGAAGGAACCACCATATTTATAGGTCGGTTGGATCGTTGATTCAGTTATTGATGGGTCGTATTTTATACGACTCAGCGGACGCAGATTGCATTTGAGAAAGCGAAAGTTTGTGTCTTAACTAGGCTATAAAATACAGGACATTTGGGTGCAGTTTGAGTCTACTGACAAATCTGTCATAAAGTCCAGCTTCTCGACCTATCACAGTCCATACATGATTCAAGCGTGTATATTGTGAAACATATTCTTTCTCGCTTGTCGGTTGATAGAGTCTTATCTGATAGGTAATTCGGTCATCTCCCGATCAAGAGCTTGTGGCATGCAGCTTGTGGCCCTCCTTTGTCGCTGATCGACAAACGGAGGGTACCGTTTTTGGTCAGCTCTTTTATTTTTCTGAACCCTGTTGTTGCGTTCGCGTCAAGTTGCAGTGTTTGATACCTTTATTTGCACTAAGGATATTCAAAATGTTCAAAGACAGTATGCGAAATTTTGTATCTGCAACCATGCAAGATTCGGGCTCTTTGTAGAAAGATGATGTGGAACAGAAAGCGTTTTTTTGGTGACTGAATCATAATGAAACGAAAACTCTAGTTGATCATCAACAAAAACGCCTAGATCTTATATATAAAGCTGAATGTCTGTTTGTCTGTCTGTCTGTATGTCTGTATGTCTGTATGTCTGTCTGTCTGTCTGTCTGTACGTATGTTCCGAATAGAAAATTCCATTTCTGAACCGATCCGGACCAAACTTGGCACACATACGCTACGGGCCCCGGCGGGTGTCATGGGCTACTTTTCGTCATCGATCGATATCGATTTTATCGATTTTTATCGATTTTTTTGCTGAGTTCACCTACGGGGCTGGGAGTTGGCACAGGGGGGTAATCGAGCATGGGGACTCCGAATACAATATTGGTTTTCAGGATTATCGATTACTTTTATCGATTTTTCGATTTTTTTGCAAAGTTTGAGCTACGGGGCTGGGAGTTGGCACAGGGGGTAATCGAGCATGGGAATTCCGAATACAATATTGGTTTTCAGGATTATCGATTACTTTTATCGATTTTATCAATTTTTTTGCAAAGTTTGAGCTACGGAGCTGGGAGTTCGCACAGGGGGGTAATCGAGCATGGGGATTCCGAATACAATATTGGTTTTCGGGATTATCGATTACTTTTATCGAATTTATCGATTTTTTTGCAAAGTTTGAGCTAGGGGGCTGGGAGTTGGCACAGGGGGGTAATCGAGCATGCTGATCATCCCCAATGGGGGCGATCAGCATGCTCGATTACATCCCTGTGCCAAATTCCAGCCGCCTAGCTCAAATTTTCAAAAAATCGATAAAATCGATAAAAGTAATGGACGATCTTGAAAACTAATATTGTATTCGTAATCTGCATGCTCGATTACCCCCATGTGCAAACTCCCAGCCCCGCAGGTCAAAATTTACAAAAAATCGATAAAATCAATAAAAGTAATCGATAATTCTGAAAACTAATATTGTATTCGGAATCCCCATGCTCACTTCCTCCCCTGTGCCAACTCCTAGCCTTGTAGGTGAACTCTGCAAAAAAATCGATAAAAATCGGTAAAATCGACATCGATCAATAACGAAAAGTGGACTGTGACACCCGCCGGGGCCCGAAGTGTATGTGTGCCAAGTTTGGTCCGGATACGGCGGAGCCGGGTAAGCCAGCTAGTCCTTTATAAGACTACAGTGCTCAAGATTTACTCCGTAAACGTAATTGCGGCTATCAGAGTTTCCCAGTTGCATGACCTTAGATTTGAGAGCATTGAGTGGAAGTTTCCATTCTTTCGACCAGAGAAACATATTATGGAAGATGAGATCGCTTGATATGCTACGTTTTGTTCAGATTCCATGTTTCAAAAATAGATTTTTATGTCATTGGCAAAAACTTGTGTTTTAATGTCCCGATGTGTTTTTAAAAAAGAGGCAATCCGCTCTGTAAACGAGAAAAAATAAAGACGATAGTATGCTTCCCTGAGGTACCCCACTCCTGCAAGGAAAACGTTTGGAGAAGCTAGTCCCAACGCGAACGGTCATTCCACAGTTTTGTGGGCAAGGTGCCACCCAAGAAAGCAATTGCCTACG